GCATGCATGGTTTATGTTACTGACAATGCCTACACCACTGATGAAGTTAGAGAAATGGAGATTACGATTCTTAAAGAGTTAAACTTCAATTTGGGACGACCTCTTCCAATTCACTTCTTAAGAAGAGCATCAAAAGCTGGGGAGGTGGGTACTTGTCCTCATTATGCGGGACTTTCCTATATGTGTAAAGTCTTGTCACGATTGCTTCCGGCATTTTTTTTTTTGTGTGGTCTTACTTGCTTTCTGCTTACATGCTGGATCAAGAAATGCTCAGCTATGAAACTCCACCATGTGGAGTAACGTGACAAGACAATATCACCGTGGCAGCCAGTAGCGGTTCATGTTTGTATTTACTGGGGCCTGGGTTCAGTCTCAGTGGCAGTAATTTTACTGTTAGGAGCAGAACCCTTGCTTTTAGAGTAATCTTTTGTCTGGTGATCAGGATATTCCCTAGGAAAAGAGGAACAGTTGTTGCATTTCTTCATAATTGTTGGATGCAAACGTTGTATTATTTAAGAATCAAAAGATAAGCTTTCTCTTTGACTGAACCCTTTTTTTTCCCACCTTAGTAGTTATGCTTGAGTGAACTGCCCACACTTGAAGTCAGCTTCAGGTACCTCAACAGATCACAAAGTAACTCTTGAAGTTAGCTGACTGCTTTAAGGATCTCCTTAAGTCATTTTATACTTCCCCCCTCGTAGTGTATTACAGAGGGAGTGCTTGTATCCCTAGTTGGGCACAGCAGTGCCTGACACTGCAGTTTTCTGCTAAAATCCCTCGCTTGACTTTGTGTCTAAATTCTAAATGGCTGCTAGACTAGACTGGTTTGGACTCTGGTCTGGATTTTGAGATGGGTGCCTGTTAGAGAGTATGGTCCCTAGACCTTAATAAAGATTTTGTTGACAGCTTTTGTTTTGTCAGTTAATGAATACAATAAACATGAATTATTATGATAACGTGAAGTGAAACTTCGTGGATTAACAAACTCTCAATCTGGTAGGCTGATGCTAAGCAACATACACTAGCAAAATACCTAATGGAGCTGACGCTGATAGACTATGACATGGTTCACTATCATCCTTCGGAGATTGCAGCTGCTGCGTTATGCTTGTCCCAAAAGGTTCTGGGACATAACACATGGGTAAGTATTTTTATCAAACCCGTCATTACAAGTTCTTTCCTTCAGTCGATTAAAATGAACAATTAAAATTACTTTAGAAGATTGCATTTAGGTCGGTAATAAGGTGGTGATCAAATGACAGTTGGACAGCCTGATGTATAGTTGCAGATAGTAAGTTTTTAGTGGTATATTTCTTCTTCTATCTTTTTCTATGTGAACACTCTGATATGAAAGGATTTTTCTCCTGAAAGTACTGAGTTACAGAAGGCATGCTGTAAATACAAGTAGATTTTCATAATTCTTGCAGTACACATAGAATAATGAAATCGTGGACCATGAACAATGAATTGTAATTCAACTAGTGGTTACTCTCGTTAAGGTTGCTTCTTTTATCCTCTGTGCAGTGTAGAAATGGGGTTCTTGGCATTTATGTGTCCAGACTTCTTTTGCACACCAGAAATTACTCTGGATCTGTTGCCTAAAATGGCAGTACTACAGTTCCTAGCAGTCGAGGCTAGCACCTGAAAGTTAGGGTCTTTGCTGCCTTGAGCAGCAATCCCCACTTCATAAATCTCAAGTTTCTTACTGTTATACTGCAGGGTACAAAGCACCAGTACTACACTGGGTATACAGAAGAGAATCTTGTGATGGCTATGAAACATATGGCCAAGAATGTGGTCAGAGTAAATGAGAGGTTAACAAAATACACTGTAAGTATAGCTACTTAAATTTTCTTTTTAATGTTTTAGAAATATCTTTGCTGTGTATTGTGGCTCCTTAGGGAAATGTTCTGTATGTTACCTTAAAGCATATGCTATTCTGACAAGCCTGTGAGAGGAGGTTGCATTAGTACTAACTTCAAAACATTTTAAGGCAAACTGTGCTCTTGCTACTTTGCAAGCTGGTTCACTTCTAACCTCGGTTGGTTGGTTGTTTGCTTGTTTTCCAAGCAGTCAGGCTAACTGACCCAAAATTATCTGCCTGAACTTAAATGCTGTATGTGTCCATCTTTTGTAACCCTGTTCCTCTACCTCTGCAGGCTGTAAAGAACAAGTATGCAAGTACCAAACTACTGATGATCAGCACAATCCCTCAACTGAGCGGCAAAGTAATCAAGGACCTGGCTCTATCACTCTTATGATAACCCGAGGCAGCCAAGTCCTGGTGGTATATGCACTTTGTCCTCATTTGCCTGTTGAGGCAGAACTACTGCTCTTTGTACATGGCTTTCCAGCCTTGCCACAGACCTTTCAGACTCACTCAGAAGGTGAAATTTTAAACTTGCTTTGTAATACAGCTCTATACCTAGAAATAAAGCTCCTCTTTTTTTAAAAATAATAATAATAAAAAAAGTATTGTGACTGTGAACCTTTAAGGCACCATCTGGATATGTCTGCAATCTAATGTTGAAGCAGGATGTTTGACTAAATAGGCAATTGATAGAACTTGCAGTTAAATGTGGATGATTATTCTTGGTGGTTGTTTCCAGTGAGAATCTCCGGGATTTATAGTGGGTTATATCTAGCAACTTGTTGTTTTCACTCTTAAGGTAAGAAAGAGGAGGAAAGACAGGTCATCTTTTCTTCGGTATACCTTAAAGGATACTAAATATGTACTTTAATTTCAGTGCCTTGTCCCAAAGAAGCATACAGGAATTTCTTTTTTTGTAGTTTGTTGCCTTCAAGTTTGGGGAAAAAGAAGTAAGCTGGCTGTAACAGGCACTAGCCTTGTAAATCTTTGTGTTTAGGTGAACACAGGACAGTGGTGCTCTCCATTTTTGTGTAAACAAAGGGAGCTAAGGTAGGAAAATTCCAAGTCTCCCCTGATGCTAACCACTATGTGCAGGGGCTGTAGCTGTGGAACTGTAGTGATGAGATCTTTTGAATGAGCTCAGCTCTTAAAACCTGTTCCACTTCTTGGACAAAAAAAACCCCTAGCTTTTCACTGCCTGTTCACTCACTCTTCACCCCCCCCGCCCTTTTCCTTCAGTAAACTTCTATACCTGGGAGAATACAGTCAAACCCACCATAAATAGTTTCTTCCTTATCACTTAATTAAATCACGCTTTCATCTTTATTCCTAATAAACATTGGTATCTGTATGCTCAAGGAATACAAGCATGTAAGTAGCGCAACTTTTCTGCCTCAATACCTTATTTAAACATTTTTGCTAACAGTCCTATATAAGTAATGTTAAGTTACAGACCCTTAGGTATTCTTGAAGTTAAACTGAACTCAACTTCTCTTCTCCCTGTGTCTCCTCTTCATGAATGTGCTGGCCCAGATGTAGAAGACAAGAACCCAGTACTACAAAAATGGCCTAGACCTCAATGCTCCCCCTTGTGGGAAGGCTGTTGAAGCTACTGGGTTTTATCTTCTCAACCAGGACACTTTTCTCTCCTATAGCATAAGTTTAAGTCTAGCACTTACTGCAAATGGTCTTTGGAAAAGTGCTTGATACCTTTTGTGTGTATGGTTCCCCCCTGGACTGAGGCCCTAGTTTCTAGCTTCCTGCTTCCAGAAACAGCTTCTACAGTCAGTCATCTCTTAATGGGTATGGTGTATAAGTGCTTAAATTAGGCTTAGGAGGGAGAGGATTCAAGACCTTTAGCTGTATCTTAAAGCTTATGCAGCTTTCTAGTATCAACATGTGCAGGGGTTTTTTTAACTGTTCTTAACAAGGAAAGAATATAATGCACAGCACTTCAGCTGGGCATAGCGAAAATGGTTTGGTTTGGAGCAAAGGAAGGGGATTTTATCTTTAGAAATCAGTGCAGTAAAATCCAACAGACATTGTTGTGAAGGGATCTGTTTGTATACGTAACTGAAAACAAACTGCACAGAGAACACACCTGTTGAGCTAACTGCTTCTTGTGTTTTATTTTATGGAGGTTTAGAAGGCAAAGCATGAATGCTGATAACTGTATGGCAAGCAACAGCCACTCTGGTGTGGGAGGCAGTCAGACTTAAGCAGTAACACTTTTGCTTTTGCCATTTCAAGGGAGTAGTGCATATCTGTAAGTACCTGGCAAAAAAATTCTAGAAGAACTACTTCATGAATAAGAACAGTGGAATACTACATTATACATTCATACATGTTTCTATCATACTCAGTTTTTATATACAGTATATGATCTGTTTCTATAAATGTACAGCTCTGCATAGAGACATTTCTTATAACAGGTAGAGAAGTAAACATAAATCCAACATGGGCCAGCCATATTATAATATAAATCTTGAAGAAGGCAACATCATTTAGCATACAGTACTATGCGGTTTTCTGTTTTAACTTCCTGCAGTTCCTGTTGGAGTCCCTAAAACACATCAGCAAACACAAACCGATTCCATTACAACTCTTTACAGAATTACTTAAACATACCATCACAGCAGGTTTTTAGATGGTAATATCCCAAATGAGCCTAAATCTTTTTGACATGTAGCAGCATACTTAACATGTTCCCCAGAATGAGCTGCATTAGAGGAAATGTGCATTTAACATTATCTTCAGTAGGTAATTAAAAAGGTTACTGATCCTCAGCTGAAAGGCACTTATGAAATACATCCCTTTCAAAGTCCCTGGTCCCAGACTGCAAAGCACCTTTCTGTTTCAGGAAGATGGTAGATTTGAGCATTCTTCACTTACTACGTGTTAAAAACCAGGTTTTAAATATAATAAATAATTGGTCTGTATGTCCATTGCTGTATGCTTCCGAGACAAAAGACTGAAGCCTGTGCTGCGGGTAATAATTCTTCCTGCTCATTTCCAACTTTACTGGTGAAAACACTGCTGAGGATGGCAGATCTCAGAACAGCGTCCTGAAGGCAAGGGGAAACATCTGCGATCACTGGTCACTTCAGGCCAATTTTTGTCTGACAGTCTTCTATATCTTGGTGACATAATTGTTGGGAAACAGACCTTGTTTCCCTCGTAGTCTTCCTGTCCACCAGCCAGAAGGATCTATGACAAAGAAAACAAAATAAGTACTGAGGTTCTGTAAACCTTTTTGTATGCTTCCTGAGGCAGCCGTGCAAAGCTATTGATTCCACACCGTGAGAGCCACCTTGTGAAGGGCTGAGGAGAAATGATTTGGAGAACCTGAGCTTGCTAAGCTTTTGGCCAACTATGCCTTACAAGGTTGCTTTGGAGACCCGAAGAGCTGGAACTGCTTTATTACTTTTTGGTTCTTCTGCTGAGTATAGGGAAGCGGTCAGGTTGTGTAGGAATGGGGTCAGGAAGGCCAAGGCGCAGCTGGAACTAAACTTGGCTAGGGATGCGAAGAATAATAAGAAGGGTTTCTACAGGTATATCAGCCAGAAAAGGATGGTTAAAGAAAGTGTACCCCCACTGATGAGCAAGACTGGCAGGCTGGTAACAGCAGATGAGGAGAAGGCTGAGGTACTCAATGACTTTTTTGCCTCAGTCTTCACTGGCAACCTCTCTCCTCACCCCTCCCAAGTCGATGGACGGCATGAGGGGGACCGGGAGGGCAAAACCCCTCCTGCTGTAGGAGAAGACCAGGTTCGTGACCACCTGAGGAACCTGAATGCACA